CCTATGTGTTATAGAATGCAGTTTTGTTTCATGATATTAAATGATTTCTTTTATGAAACATTCCACCTCCTAATAACCATTGTCATTGTTCCATAAATATATCTACTAATACAGGTGGCATAAAGGAACGGTTACTCAAAATATTGAGGACTCTTCCTGCATATATTTCCAACAGTGTTACTCAAACTGGTGCCAAGAGTATATGCATGATTAGAAAGTAGAAATAATTCAACACAATGTCAATTGAACTTTGTTCAAGTTAGGTTGACAGAAGATAAGTCTAAGGAACATGCAAGAGAAGTGTTTATCAGAAATGGTATTTACTAAGTTGCACCTCAAATTCTTCATTGTGAGCACTCTTTTGCCCTGTTCCTTTTTAAGAATATTTTTTAAAAATTTTTATTACTTATTGCCTGTTCTGGGTCTTTGTTGTTGCTCTCAGGCTTTTCTCTAGTTGTGGCAAGTGGGGGCTGCTCTCTAGTTGGGGTGTGAGGGCGTCTCACTGCGGTGACTGCTCCTGTTGCAGAGCGTGGGCTCTAGGACGTGTGGGCTTCAGAAGTTGCAGCACGCAGGCTCAGAAGTTGTGGCTTGCAGGCTCTAGAGCGCAGTCTCAGTAGTTGTGGTGCACAGACTTAGTCACTGCATGGCATGGTCTGGAAAGATCTATGTCCCTTACATTGGCAGGCAGGTTATTGAAAAGTAGTAAATGTAGCTAGGAAGCTACATCATTTCTTTAAACTTGCAATTTAAACTTGTGGGTAAATTAAATTTACCTACAGTGAAATGCACAGTTCTTAAGGATACAAATCAATGAGTATTGACCAGTGCAGCTATCCATGTAACTTATATCCCTATCATTTTTTTTCTTAAACTTCTTATTTTGAGATAATTATATGCACTTGTAAAAAATAACACAGAGAGCCCTTAACCCTGTACTTTTCACCTCAATAGCACCATCCTCCACAATTTTTGAACAATTATCAGAACCTGGGTATTGACACTGATACAGTGGAGACAGATCATTCCCATCCCTCATAAAGCCCCTTTCTAGCCACACCCACTCCTCTCCCACCATCGCCTCCCCCTTAGCCCCTAACAACTACTCATCTGTTCTCCATTTCCATAATTTTGTCATTTCAAGTGAAGTCACTCAGTGTGTCCGACTCTCTGTGACCCCATGGACTATACATATATAGCCCACCAGGCTCCTCTGTCCATGGGATTCTCCAGACAGGAATACTGGAGTGGGGTTGCCATGTCCTTCTCCAGGGTATCTCCCTGACACAGGGATGAAACCCGGGTCTCCTGCATTGCAGGCAGACGCTTTACCCTCTGAGCCACCAGGGAAGCCCAAGATTCTTGAAATTCTTTCAAATTCTTGAAATTCTTGTCATTTCAAGAATGCCATATAAGTGGAATGATAACAGTATAAAACCGTTTGAGACTGGCTGTTTTCACTCAGCGTAATTCTCTGGAGATTCATCCAGGTGGTTGCACATAGCAAGAGTTTGTCCCTTTTTATTACTGAGTAGTGTTCCCTGGTGTGTGGATGTACCATAGTTAGCTTCATCTTTCTACCCGTTGAAGTACCACTGAGTTGTTTCTAGTTTGTAGCTATATTCAGCTGCTATAAACATTCGAGCACAGGTTTTTGTGGGGAAATAACTTCATTTATCTGGAAGTACAACTCCCAGGAGTTCAATTTGTAGATCCTGTGGTAGCTGTATGCTTAGTTTTTTATTTTTTTTTAACTGACAAATTGTTTCCCAAGTGGCTGTACTGTATGAAATTTCCCTCTGAGCCCTGCTTTCACTACATCCCACAAATATTGGTAAGTTGTATTTTCATTTTTCTTCCTTCAAAATATTTCAAAATTCATCAAAATTTCTCTTGAGACTCCTTGTTTACCTAGGTGTTATTTGGAAGTATGTTGTTTAATCTCCAAACATTCTCCAGCTCTCTTTCTGTTATTGAGTTTTAGTTTAATTCTGTATTAGTCTGAGGACATACTTCGTATTATTTCTAGTTTACAAATGTGTTATGACCAGGGATGTGGTCTTTCCTGCTGACTATTCCTTGTGAGCTTGAGAAGAATGTGTAGTCTGCTGCTGTTGGATGAAGTATTTTATAAATGTCAATTAAATCCTGTTGATTGATGGTGCTGTTCACCTCAACTCTGTCCTTACTGATTTTCTGCCTGCTGCTTCTGTTGATTACTGACAGGGGTGCTGAAGTCTCCAACTGTTAAGGGCGGCTTTGTCTATTTCTCCTTGCAGTTCTGTCTTTTTACCTCATGTATTTTGCTGCTGTGTTGTCGGGTCTATACACATTGCTGTTGTTCAGTCCCTAAGTTGTGTCTGACTCTTTCAACCCCATGGTCTGCAGCAGGCCAGGCCTCCCTGTCCCCCACTATCTCCCAGAGTTTGCTCAAACTCATGTCCATTGAATCAGTGATTCCATCTCGTCCTCTGTTGCCTCCTTCTCGTCCTGCTCTGTCTTTCCCAGCATCAGGTTCTTCTCCAGTGAATCGGCTCTTTGCATCAGTTAGCCCAAGTACTGGAGCTTCAGCTTTAGCACCAGTTCTTCCAATGAATATTCAGGACTGATTTTCTTTGGGATTGACTGGTTGGATCTTGCTGTCTAAGGGACTCTCAAGAGTCTTCTCCAGCACCACAGTTCGAAAGCATCAATTCTTCGGTGCTCAGCTTTCTTTATGGTCCAACTGTCACATCCATACATGACTACTGGAAAAACCATAGCTTTGACTAGTTGGACCTTTGTTGGCAAAGTAATGTCTCTGATTTTTAATATGCTGTCTANTCCATAGTGGCTGTACTAGTTTGCATTCCCACCAACAGTGTAAGAGGGTTCCCTTTTCTCCACACCCTCTCCAGCATTTATTGGAGCAAGCGTCTTTTAATTTCATGGCCGCAGTCACCAGCAGCAGTGATTTTAGAGCCCAAGAAAATAAAATCTGCCACTGTTTCCATTTTTTCCCCATCTATTTAGTATTGTTATTATCTTCTTGGAGAATTGATCTAATCAATCATTAATGCCCATGTTTATCTCTAGTAATTTTCCTTATTCTGAAGTTGGCTTTGTCTGAAATTAATATAGCTACTCCACCTTTGTTTTATTACTAACAAGACATACCACTCTCTATTCCCTTACTTTTATCTGTCTTCATAATAAAGTTAGTTTCCTATAGATAGAAAACATATAGTTGAATCTTGATTTTTTTTAATCCGCTTTGTCAGCCTCTATCTTTTAATTGGTATATTTAGACAATTCATATTTAAAAAGTGATTATTGATATATTTGGATTAACATCTGCCATACTTTTTACTGTTTTCTACTTGCTGCATTTGCCTTTAATTCTTTTCAAAAACCTTCTTTCCTGCCTTGTCTGGTTTTGAGTGTTTATATGAATCAATTTTCTCTTTTCTCTTAGGTTGTAAATTATACTTACGAAAATTTCTTTTCAGTGGTTGGCCTAACACTTGTTAACATACATTTACAACTAAACAAAGTCCACTTTCAAATAACACTATAGTGATTCACAGCTAGTGCAGGTTCCTTGTGAAGAATGTTCCCCATTACTCCCTTCCATCTCTTGTAACTCAGTGTTATTCATTTCACTTACCATAAGCGGTAATAGTTCCTATTTTTATTTTGAACCAACAATTATCTATCAATCACATCAGTAAAAAATAAGAAACATAGATTTTACCTGTATTTCTTCTCTAAAGGTTCTTCCTAACTTTATGTAGATCTGAGTTTCTGACCTGCATAATTCTCTTTGTCTCTAAAGAACTTTTAACATTTTTCTCAAGGCAGGTCTAGTGCTACTGCTACTGCTAAGTCACTTCAGTCGTGTCCGACTCTGTGCAACCCCATCCCTGGGATTTTCCAGGCTAGAACACTGGAGTGGGTTGCCATTTCCTTCTCCAGTGCATGAAAGTGAAAAGTGAAAGGGAAGTCGCTCAGTCATGTCTGACTCTTCTCGACCCCATGGACTGTAGCCTACCAGGCTCCTCCGTCCATGGGATTTTCCAGGCAAGAGTACTGGAGTGGGTTGCCATTGCCTTCTCCGAAAGGCAGGTCTACTGGCCTACTATTCCCTCAACTTCTGTTTGTTTGAAAGAGTCTTTTCTTTTTCAATATTTATTGTTGTCTTTTTATTTTTAATGTTTATTCATTTATTTGGCTGTGTTGAGTCTTTGTTGTGGGATACGGGATCTTAGTTCCCCAATCAGGGATCGAGACCGAGTCCCCTGCACTGGAAGGAAGATTCTTAACCACGGGGCCATCAGAGAAGTCTCTGAAAGAGTCTATTTTTCTTTCATTCTTGAAAGATAATTTTGACTGTTTTTTTTTTTTTAACCCATCACCCTAAATATTTCACTCCATTCTCTTCTTGTTTGCTTGGTTTCTTATGAGAAGTCCAGTATAATTCTTATCCTTGTCCCTCTTTAAGTGAGGTATTTTTTCCTGACTCCTTTCAAGATTTTCTTTTTCTTTGGTTTTCTGCCATTTGAATGTAATATGCCTGGGTGTGTAGATTCGGGTATTTATCCCTGCTTGATGGTTTCTGAGATTCTTCTGTTGTTAATTTTGAAAAATCCTCACGAATTATTACTTCAAGTATTTCTTCTCCTTTCTTTCTTCCCCTTCTGGTATTCCCACAATGTACATGTTCCCCATCTGTTGTTCACTCATTAGTCCTGGGACATAGGTTGTTTGCCTGTAAGGCGCTGCTGCCGTTTCAATGGAAAGCCAGTAATGTTTAACGAATTCCTCTTACCTAGGAGGATTCGCTATCCAACTCTGTCTTCTCTTGATGAGCAGCAGCTGATATCTTTCCTCGACTTTTCAGCAGTTGTCGCCCACGTGCTCCTCCAGGCCCCTCCTCCCCTCTGCGCAGCGCAGCGCAAACGTCTGAGTGGAACGTTTGAGTAGATCTGGGGGTTTCTGTCTCTGTGACTCCTTCGTTTCCGGGATTCCATCCTCGGATTCCATCCTATCTCCAGTCACTCTGGCATTCCCGAGGTCCTTCCTCAGATACCTTGAACCAAGGTAGGGTTGAAGCTTTCTTTTGAATTTTAGTTTACGTCCACACAGCTGGGGAATACCTCTCTAAATGTGGGAATTACCTAGCGCAGTTCCCTTAATTCAAGGGGCATATTCCTTCCAGTTCTGCCTGTGTTTATTCATTTTCCAGAGCCTTCAAACAGTTGTTTTTCTTTAAATAACTTAAATAGTGTTGACTGTTGTTAGTAGAGTGAGTTCATTTTATTCCTCCATCACCGGGTCTAGAACCTAGGAAGCGACTCTTCGTTGTTTTGATGAGAACAGCAAGGTAACCGTTAGGATATAGACGTTACCCCTAAATTCCCTCGATTTAAAAATGTCATGGGCCTGCTGTGTGCTCTGAAGGGTCCATTAATATTTTTCTACTGAGAGGAACGAGTAAAGCCACCATTTTCAGTTTTTGACACATGTATTTTGGATTAAGGAATTTCTTCCAGCAGGACATATTTAAATATCTAGACTTAATCCTGGCCTGTTTCTACAGCTTGGAAGAATATTGAGAGAAGTGTTCTGTTTATACTTTTATTATCAACTCGAATCATTGAGAAGAAGCTCTCTCTCTCCTTCTCTAGTTCTTTGTGTTATCAGAAGCAGCTCTTGGTATTAATAAGGTAGAAATAATGATTCACTCCTGGTTATCCTTTCCAGGTTGGAGACCGTGATATATCAAACAATCATTTGTTTGCCTAAACTGGAACACCCAAGCTTTGCTGTGGCGTGTGGCAGGGAATGGAGGTGAGTGGTTCTCTTCTATTCCGAGGTTCTCCTCGGAGGTGGGGTTGGATTCAGAGATGTTTATTCACAAACATGTTGCCATTTGTGAGTGTGAGCTGACTGCTGGCTTGGGGGAAGAGTGAGAAGGGCATTTGTTCTTTCTGCCTACTTGACCAGTTCTGAGTCAGAAGAGACTGCCTACCACGTGAACCCCCGTATTTCACGGGTTGTCCAGCGCAGAGCACCTTTTTGAGATGAGTAAACGGCAGTACTCTGATCACAGGTTGGAAATTCATGTGTCAGATATGATTTTCTGCTTGTCTGGACCTCTGGGTCAGAGACACAATGATAAAAACAATCTTTGTGTTGTTAAAATACTTGTTTGCAACATTAAGAGGTTGAACCCCAAGAACTTTGGTGGAGTATAGTGTTTAATTTTATAAAAAGTTAAATCTCATGTTATGTGGACCTCTTCTAGGTGGCTGTAATCTTAGATGGTGAAATGTCTCCTCTGCCATAAAGGATTATGTGGATTATTTATGAGGATGGAAAGGGACTCCCAGTTTTCTTTAAAAAGAAAAAAAGAAACCTCTTAGCTTTTAAAATTATTTTTTAAGATTTTGGCTGTCCTGGGTCTTCGTTGCTGTGCAAGGGCTTTCTCTGGTTGCCGCTCCTCAGCTTAGTTGCCCTTCAGTATGTGGGATCTTAGTTCCCCGACCAGGGATCAAACCCATGTTCCCTGCATTGGAAGGTGTATTCTTGACCACTGGCTCTCCAGGGAAGTCTCTACCCAGTTTTCTTAGCTACTAATTTCTCTTTGTTATCTGATTGGGTCTCCTAGTTTGGCCATCTCTCAGTCATCTTTTCTATCTACCCTTTGGTTCACCCTGAATCTGTTCCTAAACCCAATCTGATTTTCAGCCTATTCTGGCTGTGTGTGATCTGAACCCTTAGCCTCCTGAGATATGCCTCCTTACGCCCCTTTCACCCAGCATGGCTTCTGTAGAAGCTCTTGGGAGAAACTTTAACACAGTACTCCTCCATCTTTTTTTCCAGTCTGATAGACAAGATAGAAGTGTTTCTCCACTTGACAAATGGTTACTGAACATATGCTTTGACTCAGGTGTGTTAGAGCCTGGGGATCAGGGATATATGAAAAAAAAAAAAAGATACGAGTTTTGGAAGCTTCTATTCTAGAAGGGATTACAGCTAAGTAAGTGGAAACTGTTTGTGCCATGAATGCTTTGATGTGTGTGTACACACAGAAACACCTAACATAGATGTGCAGGGATCAAGGAAGGGTTCTGGGAGGAGTTATATCCAGGCCAGGGCCCGAGGGTGATTAGGAGGAGCGGGGGTCCAAGCAGGAGGATCTTGCCCATCCTTACTGCAGGACGTACTCCCAGCAAGGATCGGGGTTAGACCCAGCCTCCAACTGCATCCTCTACCCACCCTTTTCTCTCCTGCTTTAGAGAGAGTATAGACTACACAGGAGCAGTAAAGTCCTTGTGGGGGTAGATCAGAATCTGCTCTTTTTAAAAAGATAAATCATACATTATTCACAAACTCTGCTAACTAACTATGGTATGATCCATAGCTAAGGAATGCACTTCAGAAATGGTTTAATTGTTCCAGTGTGGTGCTTTAACAAAGCAATTCATAAAATAAGAAAAGTCATTAGAAATACACCCACTCCCCAAAGACAACCACTGTTAAGAGTGGGGATACATTCTTCCAGATTTTTTTCTTTCCAGCTGTATGTAAGGTGTATAAAAGTCTTGTGCAGTATTATTGGTCCTTTTGATTGAATAGATCATAAAGATTTTCCAGTATCATTAAATACTATCCTACAGCATCAATGAAGTAACTGTATACTCTTTCATATGATGTATTTATAGAATTAGTTCCTTTTGGTTTGGCGTTTAGGGTGCTTCCAAATTTTTATGAGTAGCATCGTAGTTTCTCAAAAAAGTCTGTAAGCTATGTAGCTGAATCTTTCTAGTTTTGGAACTTCTATAATGTTATTCTTCCATTTCTTAAATTAAATTTGAGATTCGCTCAAATACAATGGGATAAGTGATACAAGAGTTTTTTTTTTTTAATAGTTTGAGAAAACTTGGTTGTGAAAGTGGCAAGAGTAAAAGGAAGCATTATAATTTTTATAATTTTCTTCTTCATAAACCTGTATAAGGTTTTTCAATTTATGTTTGCATGGTTTGATGATATTATTTACCAAGTTTTACAGAACTTTGAGAAATAGAATGAAAAGCCATAAAAAAGAAAAAGAATGAAAAGCCATGGATAATAGGTTTAGGCACACAATTAAAATCATAATATTTTCTTAAAATGTTTACTATCAAAAACATAAAGGTGTAATTAAAGAAAATTTGCTTTTATAACTTAGTGAATTTGGTAGAAATCTAATACTTTATGTAAATTCAGGGTGAGTGGGGCTTGAACTCCTAAGTTCAGCTTATTTATTTAAAGCATTTTAAGCTACTTAAACTTTTTATTGCTTTCCTTATTATAACACTATCATTGATAATGTGAGTTTATAGTCATTGGAGAGTTCTCAGTTGAGTCGTAGGGATTTATAAATCCTTTAAAATGTTAATTTAAAAAAGCTAAAATATTATTATCTTGTTAATATCCATCTGATTTTGAATTTCTCTTAAATCTCTATTTCTCCCAAGAACTGATATGTTTTATACCACCTTGAGATCATTAGTAGTTAGATCAAAGAAAATTTCTTGCAACATAGATATTTGATCATCTAGAAGCATCCACCAAGAAGCCATATAAGCATACTTAATTTTGAAGGACGTGCTAAACCTTTCCTAATTTCATCTGGTTCCACAGTTTTTCTTTCTGGAGTTAGTAGGACTGGCAGTCATAGCTGGCTTATTGCAAGTCAGTTTCAGGTCAACCCCTATTTTCTCCTCTAGCCTGATTTTCCAGACCTTTCTCTCTCTTCCCCCTCCTTCCCTCCTCCTCACTCTTCTATGTGTTTATTCAGCACGGAGGCTGCCTCCTGGTCCCCTGAAGGCTGGGCTGGTTCTCAGGGATTTGTGTCCCCACAGGACACCTTCCCACTTGCCTCACTGTTGCCTCTGTCCCAGGGAGCCTCTGGCCAGGAAGCAGGTGACAGAGCATCCATCCTGGGTGACAGTAGGAGGCAGGACCACGTGGACTGAGGCTCCAGGTCCTCGGCACGTGCTCCCATCAGACTTCACTTACGAAATACAAGAAAATTAAAGATAAAAATCATCAAGAATTTCAAGATGGCAATGGGGGTGGATGGGTAAGGGAGCATTAAATCCCAAGAAGGAGGCCTTCCTGAGGAGAGGGAAGGGATGTATGAGACTATGCTGGTCACACACCCATGAAGCTGGTCCTGTGTGTGGAGATTCATTTCGAGGAAAATATTTCACTGAAAGGCTAAGTTACAAGTCAGATATCATGGACCTGGGATGTGAACTCGGGTGGTTTATTCTGACAGTTTTGCTCTTAACTCTTCACTGGCCCATCCCCTGTGTTATGTGAGGCCAGGGTTCATGCTCTGGGAGGTTGGAAGCACAGGGTAAGAGGAGCCGTTTCTTTGTGCTTTTCCTGCATGTATGCTGCTTAGGTGGATGAATCTCAGGTCTTTGGTTTCTGTTGAGGACAGATGATGTCTCACCTATTATTTCTTCTTCTTCTTTTTTTTTTTTAATATTTATTTATTTTTGGCTGTGTCGGGTCTTAGTTGCAGCATGCAGGATCTTTTGTTGTGGCATGAGAGCTCAGTTGCCCCAAGGCATTTGGGATCATAGTTCCTGGGCCAGGGATTGAACCCAAGTCCTCTGTGTTGGAAGGTGGATTCTTCACCACTGGGCCACCAGAGAAGTCCTCACCTACTCTTTACATTGGACGACGTTAACAATAAAAGCAGTGTGTCGTTGGTCAGCGTTGTCCTGATTTTTTAAAAGGCTTCTCTCATTACATGTGTAATTTTTTTACATATTAGCTTTGCTGTTTTTGAAAACATTGCATCTGTATGGCCCTCCAGTGGCCATGAAAGTGTCAGAAGGGACTAGACTAGCAAGTGGAAGAGCAGCTGTGTAATAAGTGCATTCATAAAAGCGTGAATCATGCCGCTGCCACTTACTGCCGCTGTGCAGACACGGGCCCACAGCGACCAGATGGGCCATGGCACAGGGCCGTGGGCTGGGACAACAGGAAATGGACAGCCCTTGTCCAAAGGGGGGAGCTTCCAGTGAGTTCCAGCCTCTGGCTGCCCTGGGGGAAGGCAGACTGTGTTGTTAAGGAAAAGCCCCAGATCCATCTATTTATGTAAAAGTTCTCAATTTTTCAGTGCAGACAGTTAACTAAAAAAAAAAAATCTCAGTGTGGGCCATAACATTTCCATGAACTGGATTTGGGCTGCAGTCACCGCTAACTTGTGACCTTTGGTTTACTGGTGCTCACTGCCAGCTGGACCTGGTGCTAAGGCTTTCATCCAGCTTCCCACGTGAGTCTGCAGCATGGCCCCAGCATGGTTAGTCCCCAGGCAGAGAAGAGTAACAGGTGCAGAGGCGTGACATGAATTGTCCAAGGTCACGTGGTTGAGATTTGAACCCAGCTACTTGAAAGTCTGTGGTTTTTACTCCTGTTCTTATTGCCTGCCACTGGTATATAAGATTCATTCCATTGAGAAGAAATTGACGTTAAATCACTAACACGTGCTAGAGACTCTCTCAGGTGGCAGAGATACAGCAGTGAATATTGCCCTTGTTGGGGTGCGTTTGCGTGAATCTAAGGGAGGAGAGACAGAAGGGGCCCAGGATTTGTTTTGAGCAACAGGATTGCTCAGCTTCCACCCCTTTAGGGCCAGTTGCACGTCAGCCTCAGTTTATTCCACCAGTTCTGTATGTCCTGCCCCCTGTCCAGCTGGCGTCCGGATTCTGTATCCTTCTGTCCAGCCTGGCCCACTACTTCACTTCCCACTGTTCAGTGCAGAATTTGTTCCCTCATCTCTGCCC